GTCTTACTGTTAGGCAACACAATGATACCTGGCTTTCTTCCCTCTTGCCTCCTAGGGTCACTGTCACCTCTTGCAGTGCCAATTAATGGCTTCTCCTGAGGATACAGACCCTTTTCCATGCAAGGCTCTCAGAGTCATTGGTCCTGGATGTGAGAATTAGAACTGCTTTAAAAAAAATTTAAGTGCTAGATTTCACAAAGTGCCAGATAAGAAACCTCAGCACAAAGCATCCCAGACAGAACCAGCAGTTCAGCACCATTCACCATCTAGTCCCGGTTAAATTACATGCGTGCCTTTCGTTTTACAGCAGCACATCCTGGTACTTGTTTGTAAGCCATTTCTTATACAGGGAGCTTGAAAAAAGAAAAAAACAACTAATACAGAGATGAAAGATACCAGTTTCACCCCTCACAGGGTTCTGGAGCAGAGCAGGTTCACACTGGTGTGCTGGGAGTACTGCCAGAGTATCCACACCACTGCAGGCTCAATTTACTGGTGCCTTTAGAAGTAAGCTGACATTGTGAACACTGCTCACATGGAAGACTGTACCTGTCTCATAATACTGTATAATTTGTGATTCTGCCATTTTGTAGCTTTTAGTTGCTGGCTGGACAATCCACTGCTAGACAAGTTAGTAGTTCTCTCCTAACATGTTCTAACACAGATGATACCAATTTGAGTCACCTGTTTCTTCATTCTGTCTCTGAATCCTCAATATTTATATTTACAATGCCATGATTATTTGTGAAATGCAATCTGAATCCTGGTCTATATCAGTTCTGTCATACTTGAAATTAAAATAAAACACATGAAACTGTATAATCAAGAAGGAATTCAAAAGGAACAATTTAAAACAAATGCTTTTTGGGGATAGGAGCAATGAAATTCCTTGATTACGCATGCAAAGAACATCAAATTGCACCACAAGCAGGAATATGCAAACTCTTGTCATATGTTAAGTGATGCATAGAAATCCTGTATCAATAAACATTCTGCTTTACAGTGTGCCTGAATCATCGTAAGGTATGAAAAGAGTGAGATCTGAGGATTTCAGATACTGTTCATTTGAAGATCAGGTGATATGAATTGCTCTGTAGAATACAGAGAAAAAAATGTAATTCAGAAGAGCTCAGATCAAGTAAAAAAAAAAATAATCAAATATCATTCTTAACAAGCACCTTTCTTCTCCCACCCACGAACAAAGACAACAAGGATGTGGTTGGCTAGCAGTGCTCATGATGGTTCTTACAGTCACTACGCTGAGTTAATCTTTTACCTCCAAGGATGGGACAGAAGGTCAGGAAACTCTGAGAAAATAAATGCTGATGAACTCAAGCCATTCCCTTCCCCAGCTTAAGTCAGAGATTCACTGCTAGCTTTCTTGGAACAAAAGAAGAAATGAAGTGCATCTGCAAAAACATACAGTTTAACATCACTTTAAGCATAGAGCCTCATATCCATCCAAAAACCATAGTGCTTCTCCATAAAGTTATCTCCTTTCATCTAAAGCTGTGCTAAAATGTTTATGCCATTTGTGTTTTTTTTTTTTTCAAACTCAAATTCCTTCTCCTCATTTTTGGAAAGCAGCTGATTAAACCTGAACAACTGGGTTGTTGGACGAAATATGCTGTAGCTATGAAATGGTACAGCAGGGACCAGTTTCACTGTTAATTTAAAATGCTAGAATTAATTAGGTAGTGTAAATGAAGAATTTAATAAGCACACTTTACAACCACAAGTTCTGCTTTTATTAAACATCCCAGCCAAATGAAGGCAACTATCTTCAGTCTGTTTTTCCTTGTCTCGCTCCCTTAAAATCTCTGCAGTGAAAAAAGCATTTTCCTATCGCAGCCCCTCCCCCATAATTAAAATTTATGCCTGACTTCCATCTCCTCTTTCAAGTCATTAGCATCTTTTAAAAATGCTACTGTATATCCTGCCTGTTCTGCAAAGCTACCAAACAAAACCCAAGTTTACAATTTTGGTTTTGAATACCAAATTAAAGGCTGTCTTAGAAGCTGTCATCCCTATTCAACTCAGCACGGTGTTCTACCAAATTAGCATATATTTTTTAGTAAGGGAACATGGTTGTTTAAACATGTGTCTTTCCAAAACGAGGGGTAACATCACGAATCAATTTCCTTAAGAAAAATCTAATGCTGTTCTAAAAGACCTGCAAAAAGCCTCAGACCAGATGATGATTGCTGACACGTAGTCTTTAATCCACTTAAAATAAAACAGCTCAGACCACAAATTCTCTCAAAGGGATACTTTAACAGACTTTGGTTAGCTTTAACTCCCTGAAAAAAAAAAAAAAAGCCTTTTGAGAATCTAAACATTTTTTCACAGTATCTGTGCACCTGCTTTAATGGGACAGGGAGCACAGAATTTCATTGGTTCACGCAAAAATATTCATTCCAACCTCAGAAATATGTTGAAGACTTTAAAACACGGTTTCTCCAGACTAGCTACTTAACATGATTTGGTCTGTGACCTTTTCCATGCCTCTAAAGAAATATTTTAACATTTGTTTACCAGCATGCATTTAGCTGAGATTTAAGATAAAGTTCTGAACAAACAGTGAAAAATTCAAAAGCAGACAAACCCAAACTAATTGTTTCAGACCTTCACGAGCTCAGCACAAGTAGCTTAAGAATTTAATATTTCTTCTACAGTACAGCTTCACTGTCAAATAAATCTACAGTGATTTTTAATATGGAAACACAGCAGAAACCCCCTGGGAAGTCAGTTACTCCTTAACAGCCTACTGCTTTAGCAACCCTGAATTAATACAAGGGTGAAAATCGCATCCTGAAGTGTAGTGATGCTGTATCATCACAGGTCTCAAACCTGATCAGATTAGACTGTTTTCACAAATTAACAGCCCAGGCTTTGGAGGACAATCCTGGTGGCTTTTTTCCTACCTGAATTTCGTTTGGTTAATTTCTACTTGCATCACATTTTAAAACATGGAGGCTCTTACATCACACAGGGATGGTGTCCAGAAAGCATATATATATATATATTTTTTTTTTTTTAAATAAAAAGGAATATTTGCTATGAAGTTACTGACTTTAACTCTTAATAAGCTTTTCAAAGAAAAAAATATAGGTAAAAAGCTACCCAAGAATATGTCAGTGAGATCACATCAATTTTCTCACATCTTCAAATACAGAGACAAAAGCCTGGAGATGAAATATAACAAGCAGATGAAGTAACAGCTCTCCTTACAAAGGCTGCCAATTCTCTACAAAAACAACACACTATCTACAATTCTGAGATTCCGTTTCAAGGAAATCCCCATCAATGAAGAATACAGGAGGCAAAAAAGTTACTAAAATACAAGACCTGCCACAACCAAAATTCAAGCAAGGCACACTTGTAGATGAGAGTCAGTAATTCACTTGGGTCTCGAGTAACTAAAGTAACTTGCAGTTCTCTTTCCCAGACCATTTTCAGACTGAAAAGAAAAAATACCTGGGGCTAAAGCTTGTTTGGTAGTAGGAATCAAGTGTCATATTGGGACAGACAGGCACGTAAAAGCAGACAACTTGAGCTCTCAGCATGGACAATTTTTGGAAAAGAGAGTATGAGCAAACTGTTTTTAAGTTGAAAAAGAAGAAGAATAAATAAGTCAACTTGATTTTTCAATCTGTTTTTTCCATACCCTGAAGCTGCGTCCTAATCAGAAAATATATTGAAATAGATACATCATGGTCAACGTGCAAACAGAAAGCTCTGCCGGACTACACTTCTGAGGACTTGAGCTGCCCTGGGGCTACTGCCATTTATTATGTGCCTTGCGTTAAACAAGAACATTGCTGTATGTCAGAAGTAAATAAAGAAGAAACATTGCATGTTTAGAAGCACTAAGCAGATAACCCTAATGCTGCCAATAAAACAGCTGCCAGGCTGTTACAGATGTAGGTATGAAGACTTGTCTTTTCAATTCCTCATTTTGACAGCGCCTCTTTCCAGATGATGCACACTCAAACTGCCAAGAGCGCGTACTTGAGAAGGGACTGCTCCTGTGCTAGAACCCTTTCCTTCCCAAGTCTGCTGCACTTGGTGCTAAACATAACACTGGTGACATGCTGATCAGCAGAGACGTTTCAGCTCTTCACCACCTACAGTGCAAGTAGACACAACCTATAAAACTAACCTATAAAGCAAACTACATGATGTCACTGCTCACCCTGCTGCTGTTCTGTCCATCAGTGAATTTCTGGTTGTGGCAGCAAGGATGCGGAGTAAGTGAAGTGCATCAGCACCTACCTACACCTTCTTCAGCAGAAGCGGAGACACCACTGTCTTCCATGAGGTAAGATCTGTAATTGGAAGCTTTCCTTGTTCTGAAGGCACCGATCAACGGGTGCTACCACACAAAGAGGTCACTGCAAACTATGGTGTTTTAGGGAACAACGTTCATTAACCAATAATCACAAATGTTCAAATGAGAACTGGAGCAGTAGCTCCTAACTACACACCACTGCTGCGCCAGGAAGCTAGAGATAAGGGGCTGCGATGGACACATAACCACTGTTGCTCTGAAATGTTAACGTGCAGAAGTTTGATGAAGGTATTATGAAGTCCATAAGAAAGCCAGAGTTATAAATTGTTGGTTGGCTCAAGCAATTCAGATGCATTTGTATAACTGAGTCAACATTAATCAGGAAAAATAGAAGAATGATGAGGAAAGCCATGTCATCAGCTGAGCTCTGCTGCAAGAAGCTGCCTAGGAAGCATTAAATGCATGCACACTGGTAGTGTCTGCCACACTCCCCAAAGCTGTATGTGAGCTGAAGAACAAGGGTTCACCTGTAAATCTACAGCCAGTACACAAAACTGAAAACTAAAGGTTTGAAGGTTTTAAAGGTCAGAAGAAGCTTGCCATAATACCTGCAGCATTTCTAAGCACTTGCAATATGAGCACTGAGGTTTTGCTGACCTTAAGTGTAAACAGACCCCGATGTACAGGAAAGCAACGCTGAAGAGCTTACCTGTGATTTTGTCTCTCACGAGCTTGCAGGATTCTATTTCACCAATGCTCCCAAAGAGACTCCTGAATTCCTCCTGGGTCATGTTCTGGGGTAAATAGTTGACTATGAGGTTGGTTTTGCTGTCATCTGTGGCAGCCCCCGTCTGCATGGGGGAAGGGCAGTTTCTACTGTTGCTGGAGGGTCCATTGGTTGTATTGGAAGTAGGGCCATTCGACACCTGAGGCTCCATGGTGCTAATTATCTAAATTAAAAAAAAAAAAAAGAGAAGAAACCTTAAGTTTCATAGATATAACTGCTGTTTTTAAAAGATACTTACAAACGAATGAGTAGGTAGCATTCACGGCCAATTTAGATACTTCAACAAAAGAAACCGGCTTGATTCCTCTGTTATTGTTGCAAAGTAGGTCATGCTAGTCTTTGGCTGTGAGCATATACTAAGATGCAGTTTAAAAAAAATCCTTTTTAGTTAATGCAAAGCTGATTTCTGCTTTCATCACACAGCCATTTTCACAAATGTATATTTAAACCACATAAATTTAATTATAATTTAAGGTAATAATCATAATTAAAATTATAGTTCCATTAAATCAGATGAAATAAGTGTATGGCTCTATACGAAAAGGTAAAATATTTTACCTATTTAATAACTGTATCACAAAGTGCAATGACAACAACATTAACCAAGCACATACGGGCTGTCTTTAGTTAATAAAGGCACTGTGTCCCAAGACATACCAGTTACTGGTTCCACGGATGACCTATATTCTCCAGTTATATTTTCACTAACGAACTGATGCCTCTTTAAATAATAAAGCCCTGGATCTGCAATCTTCAGAGATACAAAGGTCTTCAGATAAGTTACTGGAAAGGTTTAATCAGATAAAGCTTATTCAGTGCAGAATGGTATTTTAACAAGTGGTTCTAACTTGAAACATGAAACTCCAGTTTTTCACCAAGACTTCTCCAAAGTGCCACCTAAGAAGCTATTTTGCTCACACAGACAGGCAACAATGTCCCTGCTGTCAGAAGTGTGCCCAACCATGTGGGCACAGCTGCCTGCATGCCCCTCCACCTGCAACATACACACTGGAGAAGGCAGTCTGCAGCAGAGCTATACAGACATGGATGAAAACAAACCTGGGTGCTTCAAGGCTCTGCAGGGACCTGCTGTGCCCATGGCTGGGGCAGGACAGAGTGAGCAGGAGCCACGGGAAGCTGCACCACAGGAAGGGCATGGAGGAGAGCTAGTAGCACTGAGCCTCATGCTCATTTCATCCTGTAATTATTATAATTACTCATGACTTAATTAGCTTTCTTTTTTGAAACCAGGGAGGTACATATTGCGACAAATTAGGCTTGTAGTTGGGTGAGAGGGGGGCACCAGAACAGACAAGTGTGATCTAAAATTAACCGTACCAAGGTGCTTAAGTCTCTAATTAGCTTAAGTTCTGGTCAGCATTTTTTGTTTTTACATTGATACATGTATCTTTATTTAAAGCCACATTTATTAAATAATCCTTCATTTTCATCAATGGAAACAAGTTTTAAATTACTACTGATTTTGATTACTGGACTCCAGAATACATTACGCGGTTTGACCATTTCCAAATAAAAGGAAACCTTGCTACATTATGCTTAAACAGCAAGGCCTTCAGCCACAAAGCAGAACAGTTCCAAAGAAGTGCTAACCTTGGGGCAGCCAGCAGCCTCAGAGCCCCACTGCCCACTTCGGCAGCCACGCGCGTCCAAACTCCGACACCTCGGGTGAGGCAGCACCCAGCCATACGTTCAGCACTGCAGACCTTCTGCTTACCCAGAATTGGCCATACTCTCTTCTCCAATCCGATTTCCGACACGTATTTACTCACACACACTAAGTGCTTCAGATACCACTAAATCTGTTTAGCTCAGATGTCCAGCTGGAAGATAATCTTTTGATCTCTGCATCTCTAGCCTTACAGCGGGTTCTTGCTCCAATCCTAAGCTTTGCTAATAACCTGCTGCCCATGCAGGCTCCTGCCATCCTGAAGATAATATACCGAGCTCAGCAAGCTTATATTATTCATATGCACACACACACACCATGTAAGTCTCATTAAAGTAAAATCTAGTTGGGGTTTTCCTGCTGTTCCCCCCCCCAGGAGCTGAGGAGCAGAACACAGGCCATCACAGGCAGGACAAGGCCTGGTCCTGCCCCACCAAGCAAAACCTGACAGTTAGCCAGGGTCAGTCAGAAGATGGCAGCGACACAGACATGGCTAACAGCAGCTCTAAGTCATCCCACTGTATCCTTTCCAACACAAAAGCCACCAGACACACTGCAGTTTTAGGTACTAGCCCTGGCCCTCTGAAGCCAAGAGAAGCACTTCTTGTGGCTCCAGCTGCAGCAGAAGCTGGCCTTCAACACAGCGTGCTGACAGAGCTATGTCACCTATTATTAGCAGCAGCAACAAAAGCTATGTACAGTTTCCCACGATAAACAGAAACCTCAATCTCTTCAAAAAAATCTACTCAAAATTTGAAGCTAGCTGTGTCCTATTTCCGCATTTCGCAAACTCTTTTTAGCTGCATCTTAAGGATGCTTACCTTCTACTCTATGCAGTAAATACAGTTTAAGGTATTTAACAAATACAGAACATTGGGAGTAACCTAGGCTGCTCAGTGAAGTCTGTTCTTGAACAAATACACTTCCTCATATAGCATCTCCAAATATCTCAGCATAAGCCAGTGTGACCCCAGGCACCAGGGTTTCCTCCTGGCTGCTCTTTAGCTCCAGTCAATCTCCAGATCAGTCATTTTACACATATGTACTGATTCATATCATTAGTAAAAACTTAGGAAATTAACACTAACAAGAAACATAAATCCCAGTCCTCCTTTTCAATGCTGTCCTCAGCCCTGCAAATCAATGAGAACACTGACAGCAGCTGACTTAACATCAAGAAGCTGCCAGCACACTGTTCTTTGAATACATGTAGTTTCTCCTCATGTTAAGTTTCAGCACACCATTCACTTTGGCCACAACATGAAGATGGCAACTTTGAATTCAATACTTATACCGCAATACGAATATTTTTCAAGATGATGCTACAGTTTCCTCAGCAAATAGTTCATTCTGACCATGTTGTAATTACTGCTGATAACATTAATTAATATTACTACTTTTTATAAAATCATTAAGTATGAAAGGAGGTTATGAATTTATCTTTAGCTCATGAAGGGCTCGCCTGGATATCAACAAAATAAGCGTGGAAAACCCACCAGCGACTGCATACAAAGATTTTTTTGCAGTATAAATATGCTGTAATTCCTTAAAGATCAGTTATACCTCCTTACATGTTACTTCAATCTAGCAACATCTTTGTTGTTCTGCAGCCCTTCTCTAACCTACTTTAGCTGGAATCTCACTAATACAACCACCATGTGCTAACGTGCCTGTGCTACTGGTACAGAACCACAGCTTTTTGCTCCCTTCTCACTCCTCTTCTATATGCAGATGAACAATAACTGAAGAAAAAGTAAACTGCAGTTACTATTTTTATGCATTAGTAATTTAAGCACCAATACTTTGAGTGCTACGTGTTCGTAATGTTCAAAACCACAATTTCTACGATTGCAATTGTGATGGTTTTTTTTTTTTTTAAAGTTAAAAAAGGCAACTCGTACCTCAAATTCTAGGTACATTTCAGACTGCTGCTTATAAGAATTGCTTCTTGGTGTACTACTTTTCTCAGGATGGCAATGCATCAGCCAGGCACCAGGTATTTTGGTTTGACAGATTTCACAAAGGAAAGCTTTGCTGCTCAGGAATTCAGCATCAGCCTTGCCCGCATTCTGCAATACACTGCTTACCAAAAGTCTTAGTATGACCCCTGCTACAAAATATCAGCAGCAAATACACAGTACAGCAATTCCTATGTTCCAAACTACATCTCAGAAATACTTACCATATCTTCTCATACATTTTCTCCAATTAATTCAATTAATTTAGTGCTGTTGAATTATTAGTGCCAACAATAATGCAAAGAGTACCTGTATGTATAAACAAAGCGATTACAAACCTTAAACAAGCCACAATGACTGACATTTATCTTCAGCTGCTGTTACAGTAAGTGTGTAACATGCATCTATCATTACAAAGCACAGTTAATGAATCATTTAGAAAACTACCCACAGACTGAATTAACACAGGCTTATCTTCCTATTGCATGCATAAACAATAGCCAATGGCTTCATAAATGTAAATATACATGTTTTATATTTACAAGATTTGCTCTCAGTAGACTGAAAGAGATCTGTCTGTTGAACTGAAAGACTGTCACAAGCACACACTGCGAGGAGTGTGTGCTCAGCAAATTATTTAACATTCATTCTTGTTATTCAAGTTACATAAGCTCTGCTGCCCATTTTCCACAATAAAAAGAAATTTATTTTAGACGTCAAAAAAAAACAGAGCAGCAATTAACAATCTCAAAAATAAGCATATGAGCAGGCACTGAAGTGTTTCAAACATACCACAACCTCTCCATTAAGAGACTGAACAAAATCCTAAGGACTCTAAAGGATTCATGTGGACAGCTCCATTTTGAGGACTCAGAAGTCAAAAATGTTATCTATGAATAATAAACTGTTCACAGCACCTAAATGCCAAGAAAAACGATGGTAAATTACATCTCATGAAGAATTCATGAGGTCTAATTTTATTTTATTTCTAACTGTTCATTAATGAACAAACTCAGAACATTCTCTCAAAAAAATTTAAATAATGCAATGCTCTTACTTCATCTAAAAAAAGCTCTTTAATTAGCATTGCAAGTTGTTTGCTTTTACACGGGAAAACAAATGGTGCCATGGCAGAGGTCCCACAGCCATCTCCTGAATAAGATGACAAAAGGAAAAACAAACAGAACCTCTCAAACAAAACAGTCACAATAGTTTCCTTTCTATAGAAAGAAACAGGTTTTTAAACTCCCAGCTTCTCTCTTCCTCTGAAAGCAAGGAAGTCAGCATGGCACACCAGTCTGGTCTCACAAGAACCTTCCCTGCAGGCTGAAAAGCCCAGTTTGCAGGAGCTGCCCAGCCACAGGCCTTCCATCAGCCCCCACCAACAGGAACTGCCATGCCAAAGCCAGAGGGTCCCTCACAGGCACTGAAACAAGGAGCTTTAAGACCTGGCCTCCCTCAGCACCCTACGGCCCTACTCCAATCTCATGCTGCTTCTTCTACTCACTTCACTGGCAT